AAACATTTTTAATATGATTCGAACTATTTCAAATTATTTTGCTCTCATAGTTAATAGTTATTTATCTCGATCTGTTTTGAATTATTTTGAATATTTACGTAAAATTGCGTAATTTTGTATAATAATCTTACGTAATATTTCATAATTGTATATTTCGCAATATTGTGAAAGTTTTTACATAATATTACAGTTTTCTTATGCTTCGTAAATTATTGCGCAATATTATGCCCTATTAAATTTGCTAATATAGTAGCTCAGATAATGTGCTGAATCCACTAACCAAGAAGCAATTGTCCCACCTTCGGGTAAATATATTATTATTCTTGCATCTTTTTATTTATATATTTTTTTTATTTTTTTTATTTTTTATTTTTATATAGGATGAAATTAAGGTATTAATTGAGGGTGGCAAATTGTCCTTGCAAAACCCCAATCCTCTTAGACCCTGGTCAGATCAGTCAAGAGACATACATCTAAAATTAATCCTAGCAATTGGCAAAAAATTGCCGAGTTATGAACAATATTCGGGCTCTATTGAGAAGATACTAAAGCAACATTATAAGACGCAGAGGCGCACTGCAGCGATAAATGCTGATTCTGGTTTAAGACTATAATAGAGCCCGAATAGATAGGAATAGTAAGGTAAATAATATAAGAATAATAATAATTTTATTTATTTATTTATTTATTTTATTTATTTATTTAATTTATTTATTTTTATGTTTTATGAAATAATTAGAAGAGGAGAAGAAGGCATAGCACAGTGTTGTTTTATTAAAATCAGGCAGTAAAACTATAAAGAGGTACAATAGGGAAGATTTGGAGACGTTGACTAAGAGTAAAGGTAGTAATACATATCATTTAGTTGAAGAATATATGACAGATGAGGAAGCATCACAAGAAGGGGATAAAAAGAAAAAATTAGTGTATAAAGACAAATAGTAGCGAGGACAAAATGTAAGTATAATCAATTATTAATATTAAGAATGTTAGATTTATAATATCAGTCACACGATTTGTCACATGTAAATTTTTTTTTTTTTTTTTTTTTGTTAAGAAGACCTCTTTGGCCTGAAAGCTTTTATTAGAATTTGAAATAGTGTTTTATACGCAATTACAACGATAGTACATCAAGCCACATGTGCACCTTTTGAGTGTCTAATTTAAATAGTCTGCCCGAAGGTTTTACACTATCTGCCGTACCTGCACCCCAACTAGGAGAGTGCCCATTTAAACTATCTGGTTATAACTACCACCGGTTAACTACCTAACTCCAGGTTTACTCACCATTTATATATGGATTTTGTATCACCTTGGCAAAGAATTACTGACTGCCTTAGGACTTATCAACCATTTCTGGCTAATCTATCCTCGAGGTAAACCTAACAGAGCAGTACATTATAAATTGGAATAGATTGGCCGTGCAACTAAAACTCAGTAGATCGACCAAACTCCGGAACAGAATGGAACAGAATTAATAAATCTTGCCAATAATCTAGTAATCCACATGCTAAATAAAATTGCCAGACGCTAATTTTGCTACAATGTAGTTAGTTAATTATTATTGATTAATGCCGGCCAACTCTGATGAATACCAACCTAAACTTTGGCCGTATTCATTTCTCGTTTCACAGTTTATTTGATATAATTGAAACTTTTATTTAGGAAGTTATTGGCAAGTTGGTCCTGAACCACACAAGAAGTGAGATAATAAAATTAAAATATTATAAAAAATAAATACAATAATTAAACGAATTTTTTTTAAAAATAGATTTACAGAATAGGCAAAAATATTAGGTGATATATACAGTATACAAATGGGTCAACAACGTTGGATTACATTAACTAGTCTTAACTATAATATGGCAGTTGATATCGACATTTCTGATCAGAAAAATAATTCGATTATCGATATTAATGAATTACAAGACTCCATCACTCTTTCACCAACAGGAACCGATGAACCATCATCTTCAGTTGACACTAGTAAAGAGTTCATCACGAGGCAAGATAAAGGAAAGGCTCGAGCTGATGATGAATGGAGAGATTTTCGACTTGAACCAGAAATGAATCACGATGATGATCATCATTATGATGGGGACGATAGTGATGTTGATGCTATGTCACAAGAAGGTAGTGACCATATCGAATCTTCAGAAGAAAAACCTTCACTTCCACCTTCTGCAACTCATCCATATAAAGCTATTATGAGGCAAAACTGGATTAATGGTCGACATAAACTTATATCTTTTCAAGGTCATGGCAATAACATTGTTACATGTCTTCAATTTGATTCCGAAAAGATAATTTCAGGTTCTGATGATCAATTCATCAATGTATATGAAACTTCAACGGGTAAATTAATTAATCGACTCAAGGGTCATGATGGTGGTATATGGGCATTACAATATGTTGATAAAACGTTAGTATCCGGTTCTTCTGATCGAACCGTGAGAGTATGGGACCTTGAAAAAGGCATTTGCACTCATGTTTTCCCGGGGCATACGAGTACTGTTCGATGTCTTCAAATTATAAT